CCGATCGCGTGACCTACTCCTTGATCTTCGTTTACGATCGCGTGACCTTCTGCGTTCTCTGTCCAAACGATCGCGATCCCTAGAAAAAAGAAAAAACAAAAAAAGAAAATAATACAAATAGATATATATATATATATATATATATATATATATATATTTATATATATATTTATATATATAAGCAACGATTTGATTTAATTGGATGAAAAAAAATTTGAGGAAATTCATTTTACCTGTCCCTGTCCAGCCCTCGTCCTGAGGTTTCCCTCTCTTGCTCGAGACGATATCGTTTTCTTTCTCTTTCGTTATCTTCCCTACCGGAGTGCTTTATATTCACATCAGGTCCACCTCTGCGAGTACCACCTAGACCACCACCAAGTCGTCGAGGGAGCCACCCTTTTACCGTTCTTGCACGCTCCACGTCAACCAACACTCTGCGACCATCTATTTTCTTACCATCGGCATGCTTATACGCAGCTAAAAGTATCATTAGAAAATTACAATCTAATCAAGATCGCCCAACTACTACGCGTTATGCTATTATGAGATCTCTCTTAATCCCTGAGAATCTATTCGAAATGGCGAATCATCAAGGATGATGTTTTTAAATGATATGTATGTTTTATCTCTCTTTCTCTCTATGCAGAACCAACAATTGCACCATCTAAGATAGAATGTCTTTAATATTTTTATTTATTTACTTTTTTTTATTTAATTACTTTTTTGTATTTATTTATTTATTTATTTATTTATTCATTTTTTTCTCTTTATTTTCGAGGAAATTGAATTTTCTATTTATAGCTCAAGCACAACTATATATACTTATGGACGGGCTAAAGAAATTACGTGTATGAAGAAACAATTGTGACTCGACTCTCTTTGTTTACTTTTCTTTTTTCATCTCTTTTTTACTCGATCATTTTGGGTAACGATGAATTAGAATTGCTAATATGTCAGCCTGGATAATTGGTAAAAGTATCTACATATGCATTGTGTTTATAGTTTCCTTACAACGAAGTCATCCAAACCAGTAAGTAAAGTATCCTATTTTTATGCATGATACGGATAATAAGGTATCTGCATGCATTATTCCTGATTATGTGCTTCTTATTCGTAACGTCCATTATTCTATAAAGTAAAATTAGAAAGTATATACCAGTTATAGATTAATCGGATATTTCTAAACACACACTCGCTCTGTACTATGCCTTTTTCATTTCTTTTTTCAAAAAGGCAAAGCAGTATAGAGAGTACTTACTGTGCATTATATACGTCGGTATGTTTTAGAAATAAGAAAGAATAAGCCGTGGTACTACGATCTCATCTTACTGTATAAAATTACAATTGTACGTTACTTATCTCTGCACAATAATCAACAATGAGGTATGCAGACTTTGAAGTACCTTAAATACTACATGTTTAAATTCCAAAAAGTATAGCAAATACAAAAAATACCTACCGCGGCTACTTACGTACGGAAGTTAACACAAAGCTTAGAAGTACTTTTAATCAGTGAAATGAACTTGTAAGAGACTCGCGAGAGTAGGCCAGCGCGTACGCTATTCATTGGGAAGGTGCCCAGTCTTCGTATGTTCGTTCAATCTCCGAAGAAGTTTACTTTGCATTTACCTGGTGCGCTTTTTTCTTTTTTTTTTTTTACTTACAACCAAACCGTGCGCAATTCATACATATTTTATATCTTTGTTACGTAATGTTATTACTGATTTCTCTAATATTATATGTTAACTTTAAATAATACGGGCAAAGATCTTTTTTCTATTTTCTTAAAAAATTCCGAATTTGAAAGCAAGGGAAAGATTATCTGCATGCTAAATTATATTTGCAGACTTTCATATAGTGTTTACGTAGCAAATGATGATATCGCAAGATAAATTAGTATTCTATATCGAAATTGATATGTTTCAGGACTTAAGCGTACAAAATATATTAAAAATAAAATTAATTTTGATAACTTGATAATTTTGATAATAATAGAATTTCGACTACAATGAAATCTTTTTGGCAGAAAGAATAAAAAATAGCACCCTAGTAATAATAATAATAAGAATAAGAATAATAATAATAATAATAATAATAATAATAATAATAATAATAATAATAATAATAACAATAACAATAACAATAACAATAATAATAATAATAATAATAATAATAATAATAATAATAATAATAATAAGAATAATAATAAGAATAATAATAATAATAATAATAATAAAGATGATGATGATGATAATAATAATAATAGTAATAATAATAAGAATAATAATAACAGTCCACTAATCTGCATTATGAGTTTTCTACTAAACCTATCAAAAAATTGCTTCTCACTGAAATCTCTATGATGCTCTACCCTTGCTTGAATATTTGAATAAAAAGAGTAATGTTTTTACCTACAACTATGCGTATAATAGTTATAATTTTCATCAATGTACGTTACGCGTTGCCTAATGATAATATCGAACTAATTTGAATGACTCCTAATCTTTGTAGAGTTAACTTTTTAGCGAAAAACGCGTATTTCGTACCAATCTTATCCGAAAATATGATATCCGACGAAAATCGAAATATATATGTAATAATAATAATAATAATAATAATAATAATGTGACTGTTCACCGACCGTGTCCCTGAACCTTTTCCCTAAGCCCACCAATCAATTTCAATGTAGAATGCTAACTTTATATATCGCGTCAAAATAAAATCACAAATCAAAGTAATCTGTCAAAAAGACACCTCCTTTTAAACACTTTAAGAGTGTGGCCATACTAAATATTCGTACCGATCAAATTTGTTCAAATTCTGAGTTTAATTAAAATTGTTGAAGAAGTATAGAGTAAGCATAGACGCTAACAAACGTTGTTGTATGTTGGATCTTACCACACATACAAACCTATCATATCAGGCAGGTTCAGGGATTTTGCATGGAATAGTGAACGGCACTAGTTGCCGGCAGCGGCCACCACGCTGTACCAAGAACAAGATAAAAACTGCATTAATCAAGACAGCCAATATTCTCTTTTTCATTTGAATCGTTTACCATATATTTGTATTTAGAGAATGGTATTCCTGCATGGATGTATCGTGGGACCCCCCACACCTTCTGGTTAAGTACCAATGAAAATGGGTAGCCTAACTATAGCCCTGCCCCACTATATTCTAGCTGGAAGTGATGCTAAGAAAGGTGAGATTCCAGACTATGGACTCACGGAGGCTTTCAAGAAAAATTACATTTCTGGGCTGTTACTTACAGTGCATGTCTCTTTCGTGCTCATATTCAATGAAAGCATATCCCCTAGGTTTGCCATTTATTGTATTATGAATTACCACAATCTGAAAAATAATAAAAACGATATAGAAATTCAATTTTGCATTTAAAGATCTTATCTACGTTAAACATTTTATACCTTTTTTACCGGTCCATAGACTTCAAATTCTCTCCTAAGCTTTGATTCCGATGTATCATAATTCTGAAATAATTTGCTTGCTTTAAGGATATATCTTAAAATATCTAACATGTTACTACTCCGTTCTATCCATATTTGGGTGTTGCAACTTGTAGAATAAATACTCACTATTCTTGCTACAAATAAGGTTTTAAAAGGATCAGCCGTCACATTGGGAATACCAGCGGGATCCCATACTGCGATTTCTTGTTCTAATTTATAAGCAACTTGCTCGGCACGTTCTCTCCTACGACGCTCCAAACGTTCTTCACGAGTTTCAACGCGTACAGGTGGCGGGGTATCTTTCGGATCCTTTTATTTTTACAAAATTCTCAAGTTATAAATAAAACTTATACAACTAAATACAGCTAATCAGATTTCTATCGCTACCATATACATAGAATCTATTTTTGACAATGTCTAAAATGTACAAATCCTTTCAATCACTTTTACGTAATAACTCGCTAGAAATAAAAACAAAAAACTTGGCAATATTTCTACTTTAATGGCATTTGAAGATTGTATCAATTCAAGAAAGTTCTATGAAACTTTTACAATCTTGAAAATTTGCCTAACGCGTGAAAAAATATGATTACAAATAATATAACTTATAGAATAAAAATATATAAAAAAATAATGTCATTTCGAATCGAGTGAAATAATATCTACCTCAAAATATTTGAGAAATGCTCCAACGCCGATATATCCTCCATTCTTCTTTTCGTGTGGAAGCTTGCTGGCTGGTGGCAAATAAGGTATTGGATCGCGAGGAGCAAAAAGCGCAAGTAAATTCGGAGGTAAAAATTGCGTCATTTTGTTGAAATATTACAATAATACGTCAACTTTACTCTCGCTCGATTAATTAAAACGAATACAGGAACAACTGCATCTTTAGACACTACACTCCTTAAAATGGCGTCGACGTTGCTACCGGTATGCCATAACCACATAACCGACAACTCTATCTACAAGCCACAAGAAAGAAATATTATTTGAAAGACTTTGAACTACGTAACACTTATCGACATATGTTTACGATCAATCCCACCAGATGGCACTTGAAAATATTGATTTTTCTAACGCACCAATTATATTCCTCTAGGTTGAACGTGATTGGTGCTTATCAATACGATAAGATACATCGAGATATTAATATCGATGTAATATTTTTTAAATAAATTATTATAAATTCTATTCGATCTACTTATTTAAATGCAATAGTAAAAAACATCAAGCACGTTGAAATTATAATAGGAGCATTGACAACGTGATGTACTGCATTATCGACATAATCGTTTAATGGCTAATGACAACGTCGAAGATATTTACGAGAATGAATTTTGATAGAAATATAAATAATTATGTATGTACCTACGTAAAATATAAATAAATATTTTATTCCCAACTAATATCATACTCATTTTTATTACTTATTATATAAATATTATCTAAAATAATACATCGAAATAATGAGATCGATATTTTGTGGTTATCAAAAGTCCCGCTAGAGCGCGCAGGCGGTCTTTTAACTGTTAATTTCGTATTCGATGAATTCGTGACGCGTCGTTCAAAAAAGATTCTCATTTCGTGCAGTAATCCACGTCAAAAATTAAACCAATCGAAAATATTTACTCCCTAATGCAATTTAGGAAACTTAGACGAGTTATCAACATCAAGATCGACAAGAAAAGGCGAGAGGGTATGTTTAAAAATTTCTTATTATTCATATTAATGATAATGCTTGATCTCACAAAGATATTTTTCATTTCTTGTCAATTACGCGACATATATATAAATATAAATAACGTTTACTAATGATATAATCGAGAAAATACTCGAGTAAGCAAAGAGAAACGTGCTAACATGGAACGTCAAATTCTTTTGAAAATATATTCTTGACGATAGGATATCGAAATGGCAAAAAAAAAAACAAAATGGCTGAAAACAACATTTCTTTATTATTTTAATTTCAAATAAATAAACTAATTATCGTAGTGTCGCATTCAAGATAATACGAATAAAATTACATAGTACAATTTGCAACTGTCAATTTATTTTCTACAATTACATACGCTTCTATGTACGTATATATGTACATATACGTATATATACAATACGTACAAGTTCGAAAAAATTATATGAACGATAGCGAGCGAGATCGTTTCTAACTCTTTTACGTAAGAGCATATTGAGAGAGATAGAAGAGGAATGAAAATTCTTAGAAATTTTGTACATACATGTGTACAAGACACTATTCATTCCGTATAGTTAATAAAGATCTCAGAATTTGTGGTTTCTTCCTGTGTGTATTCTCCTTAATACAGAGAATTATTACATGTGCACGGAACATACCTTACGTACGTAAGTGTGCGTACTAATGATCGTTCTCAACGTGATTTTTTTCTTTCCTCGTTTATTTTTTTCTTTTTTTCTTTTTGTTTCTTCTTCTTTTTTTCTTTTTTCTTTTTCTTTTTTTTCTTTTTTTTTCTTTTTCTTTCTTTTTTTTTATTGTTGTACCAACAACGTGAAGCAAGCGTAAACATCACACAAAGAGAAAAAAAATCCTTGATTACGTAAGAATCTTTTCCCACTTCCCACTTCCGTAAATTACAATTTTATCTGAATTTATCAGAAACTCAAATATAAAATGCCGCATTAGCCTTTGCTTTCGGTCTATGTGTAATATTACATGTAGGAAAAGGAAAAAAGAAGTACTAATAAATCCGCTACGATTAAAGTTAATCGGCTAATATATAATCGAAAGATCGACTTCATAGGAAATTAAAAGTAAAAAAAGAAATGGAAAAAAAGAAAAAAAATTTATTAATAATTCAAATGAATCTGATCTAACTAATTCGTGTTAATAAAATCGAAAGATCAATTCGATAGGAAATAAATTTAGAATAGATAGGAATTTGAGTCTCACGATAACGAATGTAATGGCAACTCGATTCATCGATATATCTTATTTACGTATATATGTATGTATGTATATATATATATATATATATATATATATATAAATATGCAGCTTGAAATAGAAAAGATAATTACATAACTAGAATCGATTTCCACGCTCTGGTACATTCTAATATTTTCTGAAATGAAAAATCGAAAATTCACCTCCTCGAAAGAAAAGATCTCTTTTATAATCTGATTTCGATAAGTTATCTGTCAATTGATTTTTTTCCTTTTACGTATCTACATTTATACATATATACATGTATATGCATAGATATATAGAGTACGTATATAGAGCGATAAAGTTATATAGGTATCGTCTAGCAAGCAACGTGAGACGATTCCGTTTACATACTCACGAATAAGTTTCTTCTCTCATTCGCTTTTGGAGTCATCAAAAAATGTTTCGAACAAACGAAGCACTGTAACTACGGCAGCTGATATCTTACGAGTGAAAGAGAGAGAGACTGTTCGATAATATACATTGTTATGAAAACTCTTTTTATTGGCATGTGTAATATGTGATAACTTTGGATCGATATAATCCAAAACATTAATATCATTGTTTCTTTTTTTTTTTTTTTTTTTTTTTTTTTTTTTTTTTTTTTTTTTTTTTTTTTTAATAATTCTTATTTCACGTAATCAAATCTCAAACATATATCCTTATATCAATGATTGTTTCAACAAATTATTCATGATAATAGTCTATGAATATATAATTGTCAACGTATGTTTATTAAAAAAAAAAAAAAAAGAAGAAAAAGTTCATAACTTCTTATCACGCTTCTTACATTCTTAATTCGTACTAATTCATTGATAGTAAAGACACGTAAAATTAAATGAAAAAAAAATGAAAGGAATAAATGAATAAAGAAATGAATAGCGATGTTGCTTCGTCGGAAGGAACGATCAAATAATAAAATTAATCGGTCGCGATAAGAAAGCGCATGCGCCTTCGTCATTTGTCAGCATTTGCTCTTAACAGATAGAAAGAGAAATAGAGAAATAGAGAGAGAGAGAGATAGAGAGAAAGAGAGAGAGAGAGAGATACAAAAGAGAACGACGCATCTTTCGCTTTCGTAGAGAGACTAGTTCGACTAGTTCGAGAAAGAAATAAAAGAAAAAAAAAGGAAAAAAAAAAATAGAAAAAGAGATTAATCTTAATTACGCCGACAAGGATGGATTCAACGAGTTACACAACTGTTAATCGTTAACTCTCTACAATCTAATTATTTGTAATGTCTCTAATCGGAAATTATATAATCCGAAATTTATCTCATTTTTATATTATAATCTAATTTATATATATATATACATATTATAAGCTATGTGCTACGATATAAAATTATTGGGTCACGCAGACTAATAAAAATATCTTGTATACATTGTATATATATATATATATATATATATATATATATATATATATATATATTTCAATATCAAACATATATATTACAAAAACTCCAAGAGATTATTAGCCAACCTTATCGTGATAAATTGTATCGTAAGTTAAACATTATATAATTTCTATTATACTATGCCAAAGAAAAACATAAAACTTTATAAATATATAACAAAGTATTAGCCCCCAACCCGCACCCTCTCGCCCCGCATAAAGAAAAGTGAAACAATTCAGATACGTGCATATATTCATACATACATACATACATACATACATACATACATACATACATAACTGCGTAATTGAAAAGTTAGATGTCCTAATAAAGGATTAATTACGTACGAAGCGACTTTGTTATATTGCAAAGGTTAGGGATCGATGGTTAACAACGGTTACACACGATTCTACATGGAATTTACGGGGAAGAGATAATTCGTGGTGGGACCGCGTGTACGGAAAGGGGAGGAAAGGGATGATACACGCACGCGTTGCTTACGTACGAAGCAATTAGGATGCGGACACTGGCGTAGCACCGGTGATATACCATCTTGCTGCGACCATCGGAATAATGCAGCAGTTTCTACATGTATATTCTTGCTGGGCAGTATTCGACGATGCATCGCATGCATAACCGCGGCACGGACGCTTACGCGTTCCGAATAAAAAACCGCGTATGCGGATTGCGTTGTCGACCACTTCTCTCCTCCAACCCTCTTTTACTTTTTACCCCCTTCCCCTCCTCCCTCCCTCTCTCTCTCTCTCTCTCTCTCTCTCTCTCTCTCTCTCTCTCTCTCTCTCTCTCTCTCTCTCTCTCTCTCTCTCTCTCTCTCTCTCTCTATACACATACATACATGTGCTAAAATGCCTCGCTTGGTGGCTATCTCATAGATGAACATCGACCACGTTATCATATATTCCACCCAAATTCTTTCTTTCTTCTCATTTTTGTAATTCTTTTCTTTCTTTTTTTTTTTTGTTTTTTTAATTTGTTTCTTGTTTTTTCTTTTTCTTTTTTCTTTTTGCTTTATTATTTTTTTTTCTTTTTTACATATTCTTTTATATCTCCTTTAATTTTTTCGCATTGTATCGTCTACTATAAAAAAAAAAAAAAAAAGAATAAGAAACTACGAGAATTCGCGTTACCTACATAATGTACTTCTCTCTTCGACCAATGACAACATTGACCGAGAAGAAATACAACGTTCTCATTGGTTGCTTTCGTACAGCATGGTTATGTCACGGTTGATTGAGATACAGCAGAGATCAAGTTGGAAAGTGTTTTATACTTTTTTTTTTTTGAATTAGTTCGAATGATTATGATGAAATCGTTTGATGGAATCGTCAAGTCTCTTTCTTCTCTGTCTTCATCATCATCATCATCATCATCATCATCATCATCATCATCATCATCATCATCATCATCATCATCACCATCATCATCATCGTCGTCGTCGTCGTCGTCATCGTCGGCGTCATCATCTTGAACTTTCATTCGAATTTGACGAATTAATAGAGCAGGTGGATGGGAGGGGGGACTCGCAATCGTTCTCGATTCGTCGTTGTCCCTGAGATAAGTGTCCATACGTAGTCGAACGTTAGCAATGAACATTTTAGAAAAAGAAAAATGTCCCTGCGGCCCTGTGCCAGGCCTACGAGGCCGTGCTCGCGGCAGAGAGAACATATTTGTGAGAATGTGCCCGTTTCCCGGCGGCCATCTTGCTTTTGCATGATGTCACGACGTGGCCTACTTCCGAGCACTCCACGTGCAAGGGTCATCGACCCTGTTCGCCTCTAATCCCCTTTTGTCTATTCGTTGCTCGCTGCGTCTACGAAAGTCTCTCTCTTTCTCTCTCTCTATCTATCTCTCTCTCTATCTCTCTCTCTCTTTCTCCTTCCTTTTATTTCTCTATCTCTTTCTCGTTTTCTCATTCTCGTTTACGATCGGTAGAGCAGACCCTTACGAAACATAGTACGCGCACGATTTCGGCTCAACTCGATTCGACTCGGCACAATTCGGTTCTACCAAACCGACGCGACGCTCGTAGATTGATTCACCGTCCCTTTTATTCGTTCATGACCAAAGTCTGGATAAAAGGGGGAGACGACTATATTCCCTACGATATCTCTCTAATATATATATATATATATATATATATATATATGTGTGTGTGTGTGTGTGTGTGTGTGTACATTATATAATAAGTAATATCAGAATTTTCCAGTCAAACAGAATTGTGTTTGATCTAATTTAGATATCAAATGCCGAAACTTGCAACATTATTTATTGACTGATCTAATAATATATAATATACCATATAGTTAATATCATAAAT